ACTGATGTGAAGCGGATGCCGCTGAACTTGGGGGGACGCCAGGTGAACTGAATCGCATAGCCGAGTCTGATGGTCCGCAGGAGCCACAAGACATTCGGGTAGCAAGGCTCCCAGATACTGTACAAGCTGGACCAGTGGGACCACTGACGTACCCGCAGTGGGGCAGTGAGGTGGAAAGCAGGGACCCAGTCCATGGGCGGACCGAAGAGGAGTCTGAGTGTGCGGTGCAACGCTTAGGCAGGTTGGTTCCACGGTTTGGCAGAGGGTGCGTGAGTAGGGCCTTTGATGACGCTCTCGAACCACCCGCTGCTGCCTGCTGGCGAGAGAGGAAGACGAGTGTGGTCTGGTGTTGCTCCGTCCGCGACTCTCCATGCCCTCTTAGGACCCAGAGACAGAGAAAACCGCTTTCCTGTCGAGATTTTTGGAAACCAGATCATCCACCCGGCGCTCCTCTGGGGGAGGGAGAGGTGCATTCACCATCCCCCAAAGAGCAGTTCCCTCTCTCTCTGGGTCGCCTGTCCTAGGGCCTCTTGCTCTTCCGCTCACCGCCAGGTTTGACGGGGGCCTGGATGGGTGGGGCGGCCTGCCTACACCCAGCTGCATGGTGCCGCTTGCTCGAGGTTGCTGCGGATGCGGATGCGGCGTGGGAGTGGGGGTTGACACAGGGGGTCACCCTCGGCGATGAGGAGGCTGGGGCGCTGCAGCCGGCGGACAGGTGGAGGCAGCAGCTGCCCGCTGGGGCAGGACATGTCGGATCACCTCTGTCTGCTCCTGTGCAGCTGAGAACTGCTGGGGTCCGGGAAAGCATAGCAGTCATTTCCGGATCCAAGGCCGGTCTGGGACACAGGAACCTTGAGGAACCGAACTTGTCGGTGTCCCTCATGTCGGCCAGACATAGCCAGATATGGCGCTCCTGGACCACGAGTGTGGACATCGCACGACCCAGAGAACTCGCAGTGACCTTCATCTCTCGAAGCGTGAGGTCAATTGTGGTTCAGGGCTCTTTCAGGACTTCCAGATTGTGACCACCTTGGTGGAGGTCCCGCAGTGCTTTAGTCTAAAGAACCTGCAGTAACGCCGTAGCGTGTAAGGTGGAGGCAGCTTCTCCACAGGCCACATAAGCATCGCCGGACAGACCAGATGAGTACCTACAGACCCGGGAGGGGAGGCATGGTTTGCTCTGCCGGGTGGAGGCGGTATCAGGACACAACTGCATAGCAACCGACTGCTCCACCGGTGGGACCCCTGTATACCCCCTATACCCACCACCGTTGAGAGTGGTAAGGGAGGAGGAGTTAGCAGGTCGGTTTCCGGCAGAAAAAAGTGCCTTCCACAACCTGGTAAGCCTCCTCATGCACCTCTGGCAAAGGTTGGCACCGGGGCGGGGCGCTAAGAACCAGCGCAGCCCACCCCGAAGAACCAATCGTCGAACCTTGAGGGCTCGGGACACAGTGGAGATTTCCACTTGAGCCCTACCCTCACGGCGGCCCGGGAAAGCATAGCTGTCATTTCCGGATCCAATTCTGGCATTGCTACAGTCCCAGAGGGCAGCAGCGCAGCCGAATCTTCCTCTCCAGAAAGCTCCAGATTGCCAAAGGATACTGCTAGTACACTCCTTGTAGATGGCCCAACACGTTCCTTTGGCAGCTCAACTGGTTGCGGAGTGCAAGAGGAGCGATGGTCCCCCGAGGGTTGGTTCCCTGGAGGGTTTCCATCACTGAAGTAGCCCCCACCTGACTGCCGCCATGACAAGAACTAGATTGAGGCAGAGGGAATGGAGCTCCGCCTATTTTGAGGTAACGGCGCTTGGCCTGCAACTCTACATTGTGAATTAATGATGGGCACAAGCTAGACACATCAGACATGGTTCAAAAAGGGCTTCGTTTCAAAGGGTGCGCCAAAGAACCCGTCATTCAATACAGGAAACAAGGCCAAAATCCACAGCCACCACTTTGATCATATTATTAAACAGCAGGGCAATGCACCATTTGATCGGTTGCTTTAACCACAATGTGTTAAGTTGAATATAATTACAAATAAAGACATTGGCAAAAACAGTTTGAAACAACGTGTTGCATTAAAACTGACCTATAGTAACTACACTGGAGTTGTTCCAAGAGTCAATGATGCTTGAACTTCACAGAAATCTTCTTATTTATGTCAAGTACTTTATTAAATATATTGGAGGAACCCAAGCCATATCTATAATAGAGAATAGAATATCAAAGTAATTTTAAGCAACACCAACAGCCCATTTCAACATGGTAAAAAAACGCCTAACATTGCATAACAATACCCTGGCAACTACCCACAACACCTTAGCATTGGGGCAGAGAGAAAAGAAAGTGTATATTAATTAGGCATATTAATAGTCGTGCTGTCCTAACAAGCATCACTGAGATGCAGTGCCTGTGAAATAAAAACTACCTCATGAAAATTTGAAAAAAAAAAAATGATCCTTTGACTTCACAAATGCATAAAATGTTCGGCAAGGCTGCATTTATTTGATCCAAAATGTTAAATTGTCAAATATTATTACAATTTAAAATAACTTTTTTCTATTTTCTCTCTCTCTCTCTATATATATATATATATATTAATGCAACAAAATGCTGAATTTTCAGCAGCCATTACTCAAATTTTTGTTTGAAATAATATTGTTTCTTTCTCTCTCTCTCTCTCCCTTGTAACAATGAAAAAGTATTCGCTGTCAAATATCTTACTGACTCCAGACATTTGAACAGTAGTGTAAAAAAGGTTTACATTAATGTATTAACAACAGTGTACAACATTTTTAACAGTGTAAATATTCTACTGCCCATTGCTAATTAGTGTTTTATTTTACATTAATGTTAATTTATGCAGATAAAGGTGTTAAAATGTGTAAAATGCCTATGCACAAATTTCATTGCTATACACTGTTATTTCATGTTAGCCACTGCATTAACTAATGCTACCTATAGAATCATATTTTCTCTCTCTCTCTCCCTTGTAACAATGAAAAAGTATTCGCTGTCAAATATCTTACTGACTCCAGACATTTGAACAGTAGTGTAAAAAAGGTTTACATTAATGTATTAACAACAGTGTACAACATTTTTAACAGTGTAAATATTCTACTGCCCATTGCTAATTAGTGTTTTATTTTACATTAATGTTAATTTATGCAGATAAAGGTGTTAAAATGTGTAAAATGCCTATGCACAAATTTCATTGCTATGCACTGTTATTTCATGTTAGCCACTGCATTAACTAATGCTACCTATAGAATCATATTACAACTTTTTGCAAATAACTTGAGCAATGATGCAAGCACCATTTTATATTGATTCTCCAGTTTTTAAGAATCCAGTCAATAAATCCACTTCATCAAGCAGGCTTTTACAAACTACATATCTGCAAAAAGCCAGGCATTTTAAACGAATTGCATGTAATTATCATGGTATTGTATGTGCAAAAGGTTATCATGGTATATAGCATAGTACTATGGTATTACCATCAAATGTCATATCTGTATCATTGTACTTTGGGAGAATTATGAAAATCCAACAGTAAGCTTTAATAAAAAAAAAAAAAAAAACATGCTTTGAGGATATTTGAAAAAGTTTGCAATTTAGTTCATATTAGTCTCAAATTAAACTATGCATTACGTCACTTCTGCAATTTGATGAGCTGAAATTAAACTTTCTCAGAAGGTTGTTGTGCATAACCATACAAGCAGTTGTGTGACTATAAAAAAATGAACAACATTATTAAATTAAAGAATACAAATAATACACATTAAATACGAGGTGTATATCATTTTATGTTCCAGTACTGGCAAATTCAAATTACTGCACGATTCAGGTGTAATAACACAACTACATTAGTAAATTCAAAACAACACACTTTTTTTCTGGATAATTACTGCTGAAAGACATAACTAATGTTTATCCGAGCAGGCACCGGACATCTATGTAACGTCAGGTTGGCGTTGGACATGACGTCAGACAGACATTGCGTTTTGGTTGAAAATGAAAATCGGGTTAACGTCAATATATGACGTTAAGCTGACGTTGACAACATTGGATTTTGGTTACACACCCTAAAAACAACAAAAAACGTCAGCTGATGTCGGTATTGGACATAAATTTAACATTGACATTAGACGTTGAATTTACATTGAATTTTGGTCACCCAACGTCAATTTAACCAAATATCAACGTTGTGTGCCTGCTGGGATTATTCATCAATACATAGTACAGTATGGTGCAATATAAAGCGACCTCACTGTTAGAACACTGTAACCCATTACAGAGGCAGACCATCTCTTTCCTGCTAAAGCCTGTGTGTCTGAATACAGATCTGGTATCTGAACTTGCTAATCTTAGCAGGACACAGTCAATCCACATTAGTAGTCACATCCACCCCCACCCCCCATACCTGTCTTGCCACAAAAACTCTGTCCTGACCTACTGCTGAAATAAAGTCTCTTATGTAACACTCGTCTTATCCCATTTCCACAACGCTCACCTTTATACATGTCTGTTCTCAAGCAGTCAAACAACACAAAGGTCACTAAGATTACTGTAGGCCTAATGTAATTTTAAAAGAGAGATTCACCCTGACGTTTCACAGCTTTGAGAAATGTTCTGTCTGTGTCTTCCAATTTAAATGCGCCCCTAAACACAGAGGTGTTGATACTAATTATTACCAACATAATTTGCTAATCCTCTATAAACAGATTTCCACTGCTTTCATACGTACCCCATCAGCCCACACTGTGATGGTAGCAATAAATCTATAATGTGATAATGATTTAGCATTCAGTACACTTTTCCCTGATTTACAAACACATTAGCATATGCATGTTTTCCGGCTGCTAAAATAATAACTGTGATTGATTATGGCATTTAAAAGTATTTTGCCGATAATGTCACTAGCCCAATTTAACAAGTGTGTGATATACAAGAAGCTTAAATAAATGAGGCTCACGTGCATGACATGGAACTGAACTTCACCTCTAGCACTAGCCATAGCTGGTCTCCGATCTTGACATCCTTCTTGTAGAACATTCCAAAAAACTTGACGACATTGGGATGGTCTGAGAGAGTTCTGAGGATGTTATATTCAGCTTCAATTTCCTCATCAATGTCCTGAAAGAAACAGATGAATTTAATAGACTTTTAAGAAACACTGGGCAATGGTTCAAACTTCCATTCTCATTTTGGAGTGAACAGAAACATTTCTTAAACTATCCAGTCTTTAATGAAACACAAAGGGAGGCACTGATGCAAAAAAAAGAAGAAAAAAAAAATTGTGAGTCATTTTATCTATTGAACTTAGCGAAACCAGAAAGGCCATGAAATGCCAGCATTAATAAAGCCCTACAGGCCACAACGGTACACTACACTTGGGGGATATATTGAAATAATATTTGTTGGCTTCCATGTCGTCCAATGTCGGAAAATTACTGTTTACCGATTGAACCTGGAGGAAAAACAACCTCAGAGTGTAGAATTTTAATGGATACGGTGCACAGGTCTTTTGTGTGATGCCTTTTGGCTTCAAAAGTGCTCCACATTTCTATTACTACACATGATTACTGCATTTCCTGTGCTTGGAAAGCAGTGAAAATAAATATTTGTGAATATCTAAGGTACAATGACCATGGCAGCTGCAGTCTATTAAATTAAGCCTAGATTTATTTGATCTAGATGAGTAATTTTAAATATACTGGCAGCCAAAGGCCATTGAAATACGTTCAAGCCTCCTTTCAAGCCTCCTTTCAGGACCTTGAAAGGGTGAACTGGAGAAACTCTGGTGAAGTAAATGAACACAAATTGCACATTTTCTGAAAATCCATCTCTTCATGATTAGTCTGGGTATGTGCTGTTAGGGGTGCTTTTATTTGGCCCATCACTAAAAGAAAGAGTGTGTGGCGGGAGAAATAACAACAGAAATAGAGAGAGAGAGAGAGACAGAGAGCCTTTTGGCATTATCTGCAGGATATAGATGTTCTGTTCTTAATATGATAGTGGCAAGTAGTTGCTCTCAGTGGTCAGTAATTGCCTGCAGGTCTCTCTTAAGGCATAAACACTCTCACAGGTACACGAAATTGAGAAAATACATGCATATGCACACAAATGTGAACGGACTGAACCTGAAGGGCCTACCATGACTCTGCCCTTAAGCTCAGTTCTGTACAAATCTGACCTTGAGTTTGCTCTGTGTTTAAAAATTTTCGACTCAGGGTTCGGTAAAACAGGACTCAGAAAAATTTAAGGGGGTCTGAATTCTTTCCGTACCCACTGTATATATATATATATATATTGTTTTAGAGCATTGTAGAGGATTCATTTTTAGAATAGTTTCAACTATAAATTTTTAATTGCCATTAAGCATTAAAATCAATAAAGTTCTGCACACATTTAATATTACAACCTACTGTTAGACAAATAAACAATATTATTTTACAGAATTGTGTGGAAAATAAATATATAAACATTCTTTAAATGTTGTGTTCCACAGAATAAATAGTATATAGTCGTAAGCAGTATCTGATCAAAGTATTTTTTCTTTTACCGTATTGACCCGAATATAAGACGATGTTTTTTTCTTGGAAATACATCTGAAAAAACGCGGTCGTCTTATATTCAGGGTCTAGACTTTGACATGTCAATAATACACCCACAATAATAGGTGGTGCCAAATATGCATAAAACGAGTGTGCCATGAAATACGTAATGTAATGCGTGTTGTAAAGATCGTGAGTAAAAACAAAAGAACAAGAAAAGCTTACAGCTGCATGAGTCATGACTGTCACGTTAGCCTGATGGGACCAAACTCCCTTTGTGATTTTAAAACGTAAGACAGTTCCCAGATTTGAAGACTACAGTAAGATTTAACTTCTACTGTTAATAAGACTTTGGTAGGCTACTATTAGTTCGATAGCCTAAATGTTCTAATTCAGATGGGCTACCTTTTTTTTAATGGTATATCAAAAAGTGTATATTTTTAAAATGTGATTGTTGGTACATTTTACCAGTTTTTACCATACTTTCAAAACAAAAGTTAAAATAGGAAAAATATGCAATATGAAAATAATTGAAGACAAAATGTGTTTTACTGAGAAAAGGTACCAAAAGGTACATCTGGAAAAAGGGGGGTCGTCTTATATTTGGGCCAATACGGTAAATACTGTAATTTTTCAGACCAACCCAACTCCTATCCAAACGCATGTCGGCAAAATCAGTCATAAATACTTTTGTTATTTAAAAGTAGTATGAAAAACACATTAATCCCAAACAATAGTTAATCAAACATGAAATTATGTTACTACTGTTAGTACTCGCTGATCTTTTTATTCTGTCTCTCAACCAGACTCACCATTTGTAACCCTACCGGGTGAAAGTTCAACCAGCTCTTTCTCTACTCTAACTGCAATTAAACCCACTTTCAAGATAAAAATTGTAAAATTCAACATGTCACTTACATTCCTTTCTTAAATGGTCGATGAACATTTTGTTGAATAAGTCCATATTGACCCTGTGGAAGCAGTCGTGGCGTGTGAACACTTGTGGAGGAGTTAACCACAGCTAAAGCTAATCTCAGCGAGCCATGCCTGGCACCAGAAACAATGCTAAGCAGCAGAAGATATGTTGGGATTAAGAGGAATTACTCGACTACGCCATGAGCCTTTCCTCATTTAGATACTCATTGATACAGGCGCCAAAGCTAGTACGAACAACTAAGAATATAATGCCAGGGGAACTACCTCGCTAACCCAAAGAAAGTAACTAGATAGAGTAGCTTAGGAAGCATCTTTATCCTTTGTTAGGGGTTTTAATTTACACCAGAGAAAGTTATGTCACGCAGTGTTTTAGTATTTATAAAACTCAATGTTTATTACTGAAATTGCCATCTTTTCTATTAATATGGCACAGATTGGTGTCCTATTACTATTTATTTTCAGTAGCAAGAACTATTAGGTATTTTGGAAGATTCCTAAAAGTTGTAATGCAAAGGAAGTAACAGCATTTCTTTCATTCTTTTTTCATATGGTGGAACCGTGGAAGGACAAATAAAAACAAATCGCATTCCATTGTCTCAATTTTCAGACAAATTGTTGCGCTGGCTGAATTTGTCTAGCTCAAACAATCATCAGTTATTGTGTTAAGAAAATAATCAAACAGAAATGTAAGTTCATCAGCAACTACAAACCAACATTTGGTCCCAAACTAACTAGCCCCCCACTGAGGGATATCATAATTTAGGCTAAATCTGCAATCCTGTTATCTGTCTGTGCTGGTTTAGCATCCAGTTCAGTAAAAAAGCTAAAATGGTGTACTGCACCACACATCTGGATATGCTTGGTTATAATTATTTTCTCCATCATTTGCTGAATTATGGCAACCATAATCACAACAGAATTTACACAAATATCTCTTCTTAATAAAGTTTTGTTAGGAAGGTAAAAGGAAAATAGCAATGATTTTTGTGAATATGGTACAATCTATAACAATCATAATTTGCATACAAAGAAGGTGAGTTTGCCTTAATTTAAATATGGCGCAGCACTATTTCAGTGCATTTAGCACCTGGCTAAACTGTATTGTGAGTGCAGGGTTTTGCACTGAAATACTGTGCACAAAAATACTGGCACAATTATAAATGTAGTGCAATAGTGAATTCACTGTACATTTGCATACCTGTTTTGCCCAGATGTCATCTTTGCCTGCTTTGCATCCAGAGAGCAACTTTATGAAAGGGCTCAGCACTCTGAAACATTTCAAGATAATACATTTTGCACTATGGTAAGTTGCCTTATTTCACCTTTTTAAAGAACAAAAGTTGAAGCAACTTGAGGAGAGTGAGGAAACAGGAGCCAGGTCTGCCAGAGGAAGAAAGGAGACCTGAGCTAATTTACAAGGCTGTGAGTGGGTTGAAGTTTCAGTTTAACCTTTGCAGGGCAAAGCATGCAGAGGAAAAAGAAGTTGAAAGACTCATTTTAAGACACCATTACATTGACAACAAATGATCCTTAAGCCACAAAAATAAATATCAAGATAAATTTAAACATTTGTATCATGCACCAAAATGGTGCATCCAAATAGAAAATACAACCATTGTTTTATGAATATGCATATTAAGAAGTCAGCAATATCACATGACACAAAACATTTTGTTAGTTTTTCATGTTACTCCAAATAGTATATATTTAACATGTTATAGTATTATTATTATTATTATTATTATTATATTAGGATAATTTGCCATGCTACTGCCAAAAAAAAAATAATAATTGTTGAATCAAATAAAATGAACTGATGTTTACAGACTCATTTTAAGACACCATTACATTGACAACAAATGATCCTTAAGCCACAAAAATAAATATCAAGATAAATTTAAACATTTGTATCATGCACCAAAATGGTGCATCCAAATAGAAAATACAACCATTGTTTTATGAATATGCATATTAAGAAGTCAGCAATATCACATGACACAAAACATTTTGTTAGTTTTTCATGTTACTCCAAATAGTATATATTTAACATGTTATATTATTATTATTATTATTATTATTATATTAGGATAATTTGCCATGCTACTGCCAAAAAAAAATAATAATTGTTGAATCAAATAAAATGAACTGATGTTTACCTGAAACTTTAGATGCAAATCAAAACCACATCCCTATAAAGTCTCATTGTGGCTAAGACATGTATTACCCAAAGGCACATGCACGTACACATTCAAAGCACCGAATTACAGCCAACCCCACACCTTGAAGGTAAGCAAATCAGTCAAATTTGGTTATCTAGCCCTGCCCTTACTAAGTTAATCTAAGGCATTAAAAATAAATGCATTTAATATAACTAATACAACTCAAATGCAATAAAGCCAGTTCCACAGATAGTGCTTGCCTTGAATGATTGCCTTTTGTAAAAAAATTATTATTATATTAGGATAATTTGCCATGCTACTGCCAAAAAAAAAATAATAATTGTTGAATCAAATAAAATGAACTGATGTTTACCTGAAACTTTAGATGCAAATCAAAACCACATCCCTATAAAGTCTCATTGTGGCTAAGACATGTATTACCCAAAGGCACATGCACGTACACATTCAAAGCACCGAATTACAGCCAACCCCACACCTTGAAGGTAAGCAAATCAGTCAAATTTGGTTATCTAGCCCTGCCCTTACTAAGTTAATCTAAGGCATTAAAAAGAAATGCATTTAATATAACTAATACAACTCAAATGCAATAAAGCCAGTTCCACAGATAGTGCTTGCCTTGAATGATTGCCTTTTGTAAAAACCATGTTTTTCTCTATTTGCAAAGAACTACAATGTGTTTACCTAATACTACAGAGTCTATAATTCTACAACAACCTATAAACACCTGCTTTAAGATCCAAACTTTCAAACAAAAGGTAAAAAGCCCACACCATGCAAGTAAACAAACTTCAACTTACAGTTCGCCGCTGCTTCTACATGCTCAGGTATCAATCAGTCATAGTGTCCCGTCACAGAGGAAGGTGACTGTGCTAGTTACTGCCTACAGTTAGGTTATCTCTCTGTATTATGCATTATTCATCAACAAAAAGTAACACAATATTGTACAATATCCCAACATGCTTGGCTTCTGACCGTTGCTTTAATGTCACCTCAATGTTGATGCTAGGCTGAGGTGACCTATGGACGAAGGCATGCAATATCACTTGCAGATGACAGATTAAAACAGGCAACTGTTTGGACACCCATACTGTAATAGGTGCAATGGGGCATGACACCAGGCTATATAACAGTTTTTCTACCTACAGTGCATGCACTCGGTAAGAGCAGTGAAAGGACAGACAGCTTGATTTCTTTGAGGTTTATGCTATTGTTCTGTTCTGACTTAACCCACAATGGCTCTAACAGTGCAACAGATGGTTCTGTGATTGCTACTACATCCAAGCCTGCACTGCTGATGATTTAATGTGACTCATCTATCTTATAGAGACATCTAGTGTCTCTACTTCTGGCAATGACAACACCATTGCCTAGCAGACAGGGTTGTTTCAGTAACAGTATGTTAACTAGATATGTTTAGTTGCTGCATTTGTATAATTTATTTGTATCATTTCATAGAACATTTTGGCCCAAAATTTTTTTTTTTAAAGCTAATGTAATAAAAAGTATCCAAACTACTTGTCTTATAGGGTTGCAGGGATGCAGAAGCCTGTTCCAGCATCGCGGGCTGAAAGCGGGGAAACACTCTGCAAGGAAGGAAGGTATAAAAGCTGCTGTAGGTCAATTAAGATTTAATGAATGAACTCACCCTTCGATTGGACTCTTGTTGTGTCAAATGTGAGAAGACTTTCCAGTTTTATGTAAGTCACCATCTTTGATATTACTTGGACTAGACTGTCTTCCAAGGTTGCAGGTGATAGTTACGAGTAGAACATAGGCTTTACTCATGTTGCACATTCATAAAGATAGTGTTCAAGCCACTATTATAAGTCACATTTCAAGACTCACACCTTCAAGTAAATGCAGTTGTCAATCCCAAACTTTGACAGTGTAAACATAGCCTAAGGGATTTTTTCGAACATTTTATGATCTACTCATTTTGGGTTTTACAGCCTGTTGTCATTGGAGAACATTCAAGTTCCACAAATAACTTTTTTCATCTAGCGTTTTAGAAAACCATTTATATGTTGGAACATGTATATGCTTTAAAGAACCCAAAAACCAAAACAGTGATGTAACGTGAACTTTTTGAATCTCCAACCACCTCAAGTACCCTATACCGCTAAAACCAGTTCTTTATATGAAGATGGTTCTTTGCTGAACCTATGATGTTGCAAAGACCCAATTTAGACCTATAACAATGCACTGGTTCATAGATTTGTATGCCATCAATCCATTCTACCCTTCTCTGCATCAATCAACACTGACTTAAAATCTTTCCTGAGCGTCAATCCTCTCTTTGCTTGACTGGATGCCCAGTAAGTTACAGCATTCAGCTCCCATTATAACATCCGATTATTGGCAAGCATACAAGCATCTTTTTCCTGTGTCAATCAATTTCAGCAGCCTTTCACACTTCATTGGTGACAACACTCACCAACAGGGGCTGCTGCCCAACCTATTTGTGCCTGTTTATCTGTGTGGCCCGCAGAGATCGAGCATTATACTGTACCTGAAGAGCTGCAGAAAGCTGAAATATTCATGGCTGCTTCTCTGTTTCTCTGGTTTGTTATTAAGCTCCTGTGGTGTTCATTAGGTCCCTCCCTTGCCCAAGGTTCAATTTTCAAACCAGAGGAGAAACCAGATGTCATGCTGCTCGCTTGCTGTGTGCACCCCGGTAAGACTCTGTCAGAAGACGCCGCTACCTCTTCCTGTGCACCTTCATTATCTCTTTTTACCCTCCCTGTTGCTTTCCTTTCTTCGCTCTCTCTTACATAACTATCCCAGGCAAACATCATAATTTGAAGCAGTGAGAAAAAGCCAGCACTGATGTTTCGACCTCTAGAAAGAGGACTATCAATCACAAGCTGATGGGAGGACCAGTAATCAATAACTCTGTATGAAGTCGTTCACGTCTCGGCCCATGAGGAGGCCCCTCGTCATGCATCACGCTGACACCTCCCCACCCCGACTTCAGGTCTCCCTGGCCTCTGACGGCCTTCATTTCCAAAGGGGTCCAATTTGATCAGCCTCCTTAAGTGGTGCCCCCTCAACTGGATCTCCCAGGCTTGAGATACCACAGCTAAAGTGCCTCATTTCCTGCTCTGTTGGGTTACAAATGGTGCAGTCCAACCCACAGGCGGGGACACAGCAGTGGCCGTAATGACCCCATGATTAGTGTGGGCACTGGGCCCACAACCTACTTGGACTGAATCTCTGTACAAAGGCCGGCCCCCCCATTCCCATTTCACATTACCTGTTCTGGGCTCTTAATCAAAGCGGAGAAGTTCAGTCTCTATGATTGATGAACCTGCAAAAAATGTCTGAAGAAAATTTTAACTGCGCTAGCAAGCACAAAAAAATACTAATGCATAATGGTGGTTGCCAGTGTGTTACTATACAGTTGCTGAAGTGTTCTGAATGTTTTTTAGTGTGTAGCTATGCAGTTGTTCAGGTGTTGTAGGTTATGATTTCTAGGGCATTGTGTTGCTACATTCTCAGAAAACAAAAGCTTTCAAAAGGTACACTTTTGTACTTTATTTAGTCCTGAAGGGTGCATATTAAAACCTTAAAGGTACATATTAGTACCTAAATGATACATATTATTTTTTTTATTACCTTTTGAAAGAGTACCACTTTTTATTTATTTAGTGTAGGCCAAAAAAAAGAGTCCCCAAGTATCTTTATCCGAATATGCTTTATTTTCTATAGTATGCAAAAAACAGTATGCTAAATAAGTAGTATGTCTAAATGCACATTATCATCTGCTGGACACTTGACTATTTTTCCATAAGGCCACAGGAGGGAATGTCAATGGCAGGGAACTGCGATGCCAACATGGCGGATGTAATATGTCCACATTGCATTCATGCTACACACATATAGAACATACTTTTTTCTTTCATCAAATACAGTATACTATGAATTTGGACTACTCTTGTGATCTTCTGGTTTATATGGCAGTTTAATACTTGGGGTCAGGGGTTTGATCCAATCAATAATCCTCATTTTATGCAATAGTAATGGTGACACTTGTCTTAGTAAACACTACAAATAATACTGATTGAGACCTTCAAAAAGGTGCAAAAACTGCGTTTAGTTTCATGAGCCGGCCCATTAATGAGCTACTTAATGAAATGATTGGCTGTGACCAGCTGTTAGTGAGACAATAAAAGCAAAGGTAGCACCTGAATACTAAATATCAACAGCATGCAATCTATCAATTATATTAATCTATTGGTGATCCTTTGCCTTCTGTAACTAAAAGCATGTTTGAAATCATCAGTAAGACCCTGCCAATGCAGGTTATGAAGATATGAAGATGAATTAAAGTCTTTAATTAAACAATCCAGAGAAGTCTTACATTCTCCACTGGCTGATGCTTTAGGCATATGTTCTACTTAGATTTGCATCACCCTTCTCTGAACATTATTCACTCACTGTTTGACATTTTATGCTTGCCATTTCCTTACAATGACAATGAAGATCATAATGAGGGAAGAAAAAAAACCGGCCATAATGACAGATGCCTAATGCAATATGCTCACAGATATAATATAAGGCTGATTCCTATTCTGGCTCATGCAGTACATTATTATGTCCCCATTATGTATATACATACATATATATATATATATATATATATATACATATATTGCAGGTTATGAAGATATGAAGATGAATTAAAGTCTTTAATTAAACAATCCAGAGAAGTCTTACATTCTCCACTGGCTGATGCTTTAGGCATATGTTCTACTTAGATTTGCATCACCCTTCTCTGAACATTATTCACTCACTGTTTGACATTTTATGCTTGCCATTTCCTTACAATGACAATGAAGATCATAATGAGGGAAGAAAAAAAAACGGCCATGATGACAGATGCCTAATGCAATATGCTCACAGATATAATATAAGGCTGATTCCTGTTCTGGCTCATGCAGTACATTATTATGTCCCCATTATGTATATATATATATATCAGGTAAAATATTAAATAAATAATATAATAAATATAGTTTGTAAAGATGAAAATCATATTAGTTAATTACTTTATAGCTTTATATATTAATTTAAATTAAATTTAAATAAAGGAAGCATTTTACATGGGGTGAATTTTAAATAATTATGCTACTTTTTAATAGTAAGCAACATGACATTCATTAGTATTGTATTAGCGATTTCATCATGGGTTTTTGAAAAAGGTGCAAAATCTATCAAAATCATCATCATAAGATTTTAAAATATGATTTAAAATTATTTAATATTTTTTTATTATTTAAGTTGACATCCTTAATGGTCATCGCTCACCAAGCAATAGCTAACTTCAGCTTTTTATTTCCATTGCATTTCTTTTTATAGAAATATTTCTTTGAATTACAATGCAAGCATATTCATTTTTAAAAAGCTACAGAATTACAGAGGAACTGCATAATATAAATGACCAGTATACAAATACTTCATTTCCAGTAAACAATTTATGGACTGCAATTTTGATTATGAAAACTTCTGACCTTCGGCTCATCATGCATCGTTTGTGTACACTATTAGCTTCTACAACAGAAGACACACAGCTGTCTCTTCATATTGGTCTCATCATTTTTTCTTCGCTTCTTTCCACAATCAATGCATCACAGCTGGAAATCCAGTGTATTTACACAGGCGTCATGATTGTTTCCATACACACTTGAGTCTAGGCTGTTGTGAGGCAGGTGTTGATTCAAATGGCTTTGCCTCAGGGTGACAAGCATGTCAAATTCATCAAATCCCCCAACACTGATAGGCCAACCAAGGTTAATTTACTCATTAAAGTCCAGATTTGACTTTTTTTGTGGTTTTCTAATATCTAAAGAGTTAAATGCTCTTTTTGTCCAGGATTTTTTTTCTTTAAAAGAATACCAAATTTAAATAGTAATAGCAAGCCTTAGCAATCTAATAAGTTGTCTTTACTTTGGAAAAGGAGTTCTACACAAGCATTTGAGTTATGCACTAAAGAACTGCTTGTCATTTGAGAGGAGCAATTCCAACTGAGATATATTTTTTTATAATGTATGTTGAAAGACATCTAATTCAGTATATGCGACAGCAGAAATGCACAAGGAACAGTTTGTCTAACACACATTTACTCTAGCATGATGACTTTAATTGCTTATTGCTGTGAGTACAGCTGTATCAGAAAGGCTTCATGTCTTTCACCAAAAAACAGTATAATTAGTATTTCATCCCTCCTACACATTGCAAACTTTTCAATCATTTCCAAGTCCAATAATTAAGCTCTCAAGGTTGTGAGATCACCAGTGTTGGGGAAAAATGCATTACAATATTGCGTTACTCCATAAAAAAGTAACTAATTACGTTACTTAGTTACTTTTTTTGGAAAGTAATGCGTTACGTTACTTTTGCGTTACTTTTTAAATCTGGACAGGGCTTGCTTGTTTGTTTTTAAAATAAAAAAGTTATATTTTTGGCAAATATAAAAGCCTTTTCAAACCAAACGTGAAATGAATAAGCCTCAGGCTGAAGGGAAAGTAAATTTACGTCCGTACAGTAGAATGCAGAAGAAGACATTTCAACACACTTCAGCAAAAAAAAAAAGACACACAAATGTTTGTCTAGAGTAATTTTTGCTTATTAGTATGGTTGAACTGGATCATAGAAGGT